CACTAAGGGGCAGCAGTTACCAGAAGAAACATTTAGCTCCGCTGAAGCCAAGCACAAACCAAGTGGAAACCTTGTTTCTAAACCCCAAGAGCAAAGAATATAGAGAGCACATTCTCATCTCTTGATTCAGATTATAACGTTATAGTTTTAAATATCTATTCTATTAAGAGTTTTGCTTGCCAACTGAATTCTCCAAGTAAATTAATTTGTGATCAAATATGATTTAAGGGGCACCTGGGTGGCTTAGTGGGTTAAAGCCTCTGCCTTCCTTCCTCTCTCTCTGACTGCCTCTCTGCCTACTTGTGATCTCTGTCTGTCAAAAAAATAAATAAATAAAAATAAGATTTAAATATACTGCTGAGACATATATCACCTGCAAGAGTTACCCATTTAGCTGCATTTATAACTTCAGCAACTTAATCTGAAAACTCTTTGTATTTTCTGAAATGACTGTTGTTTGTCATCTCTTTCTCCCTTTGATGAAACAAAATTTTTTGTGTGAAATGAAGGCAATCAAATAATTCTTTAGACAATTAAACTCAACAAGGCTAAATCTTTGGAGATCTTACAGTTTCCCTTCTGGATCATTTGCTCATTAAACCATCCACCAGCAAAGATTTCTGAGCATTTCCCTCATACTGGTTTTTTTTTTTTTTTAAAAAAGATTTTATTTATTTATTTCACAGACAGAGATTACAAGTAGGCAGAGAGAGGAGGAAGCAGACTCCCCGCTGAGCAGACAGCCCGATGCGGGGCTCAGTCCCATGACCCTGGGATCATGACCTGAGCCGAAGGCAGAGGCTTTAACCCACTGAGCCACCCAGGCACCCCCTCCCCCTCATATTTTTGGATCTTGCTCTTAAATGCTATAGAATGGAAAGATGGACCAGATACCAAATCCACCATCAAGGGCCTCATTCAAAGTCTGGAGAGCAGGGAGTATATGGACAGACAAAAACAGAACAGAACAAAACAACAACAAGCCTGATTATAGGATTGTGTGCTAAATGAAATGATAAAAACAATAAAGAGATGCTCCAGTGATAAGAGAGGACAGAGGTGGGAGGTTGGAGGTAGTGTAAGTGCTGGAAAACTTTCAAGAGGAGATACTTGAACCGAGCTTCAAGGAGTGGCCAGAAGGAGCATTCTCAGAATGTGCCAAGGCAAGGGAAGAGTAAGAGAGTGCAGTCTTCTGGTCAGTTTGTAGGCAGGGTCAGACTTGGAAATGCCCAGGGGCGAAGGCATTGATTTGTGTTTTTGATAAACAACTCTGACAGCAAAATGGAAATGGAATGGAGAACAGAAAGCAGAGAGAGTAAGGAAGTTACCTCTGTTTGGCTGATAGAGACCAAAATTACAAAGCCTGAGGTAGGGAAGAATAGAGAGAAATGGGTGAGTTCCACTGATGTTTAAAATGCAGAGGCGCCTCGGTGACTCAGTTGTTGAGCGTCCGCCTTCGGCTCAGGTCATGATTCCTGAGTCCTGGGATGGAGCCCCGCATCGGGCTCCCTGCTCTGCTGGAAAGCCTGCTTCTCCCTCTCCCACTCCCCCTGCTTGTGTTCCCTCTCTCTCTTAGTCTCTCTCTGTCAAATAAATAAATAAAATCTTTAAAAAATGAATAAAACAAAATGATGAGGGTAGCTGGGCGGTGGGTAGGGATATTGGCCTGAGTGGCTGATGCAGCAGGAGCAGGTTTGGGTGGGGAGGGCATGGGTTTAACTCTGGTCTTAATTGAATTTGAGATGCTTGTGGACCATTGAGGTAGGAATTGAGACTAGCAGGCTATTGGATAGATGGTTCTGGAGCTTAGCAGAGAGATATAGGCCAACCATACAATGTGGGGAGTGATTGAAATTACAGGAATAGCTGGAATCATGGTGGGGTCAATGATAAGCTTTGGAAAGAGTGCATTTAGAAACGAGGAGACCCAGCAAAGTATGGTCACAAGGCCATAGGTGTGTTCTTGTGGGGGAAGACCTAACATAAAATAGGTGCCAGTGTTCCCTGCATTCTCTATGTTTAACACAATTTCAACAAAAACAAGGGGGCGCCTGGGTGGCTCCGTCGGTTAAGCTTCCAATTCTTGAGTTCAGCTCAGGTCTTGATCTCAGGGTTATGAATTCAAACCTCCCATGGGGCTCCATGCTGGGCCTGGAGCCTACTTAAAAAATAATAAATCACAACAAATTTGTCCGAGGGCAAAACAAACTCCGAGAAGTTCTTCTGTCTTCTCTACATAGGGCCTGGTGTAACAGCAATGCCTGGTAAACATTTCTTGCCTATATGTAGGTACATTCATCCAGCAGAATAATATGCACTTTAGTGAAGAATGGGCTAGGTTTATGTGCTGACATAAAAAGATTTCTAAGGTATGTTAAGTGAAAAAAACAAGGTGTACCACACGTCAATACTATTATGTATGTATATGTTTAAGGACACATATGTAATATTGCATATCTTACACAAATTACATACTTTTTTTTTCTGTAAGATAATGATAGCTGACACATACATAGTATTTACTATGTTGCAGGCACATATTGTAACTCATTTAATGCTTTCTGTTAGGTAGGTACTACTGCTATCCCATTTATATCGGCTGGGAAACAGCGTGGTAAGTGACGAGCCTGGGATCACCCAGCAAGTTCGCGGCAGAGGTGAGAGCTGAAGCCAGGGAGTCCCAGTGTCTCAGCAGCACAATCCTGCCTCTCACCAGGGAAAGTGTTAATGGAGAGGGACTAGGATGGGGAACGGTGGAGCAAGAATTTTACTTTTATACTCTTGAGTATTGAAAATATTATTTTAGCACATGCGTTATTCCTTTAATAATAAAACACTAATTTAAAAATATTTTTGAGAATTGGACTTTAGGTATCTAGTGAGAACATCCCCCAGGACCTCGAGGGAGGTTTCAAGGGGAATGTGGGAGTGGTAAGGGGGAGGGGAATGGGCTGAGACTCCATCCCAACAGGCTTATTGCAAGGAAATATAAATATTGCTTTTTATATAATTGAATTTCAGCCCTGAGAGAACAGGCAGCATTTAAAAGCACAGTGGCCAAGGGGCGCATGGGTGGCACAGTCGGTTAAGTGTCCCTGACTCTTGGGTTCTGCTCAGGTTGTGATCTTTGGGTCTGAGTCCGAGCTCCACCTCTGGCTCTTCGCTCAGCGCTCAGCGCAGGGTCTGCTGAGGACTCTCCCTCTCCCCCTGCCCCTCCCTGCTGCCACCTCTCTCTCTCTCTCAGATAAATAAACCTCTAAAAAAAGTAAAGTAAAAGTGAAAACTAAAAATAAAATAAAAGCACAGTGGGCAATTTCTGGATTTAGTTTTTTTTTTTAAGATTTTATTTATTTGAGAGAGAGCCTGAAAGTGAGAGCACACAAGCAGGGGGAGCAGCAGAGGGAGAGGGAGAAGCAGGCTCTCCACTGAACAGGGAGCCAGATAAGGGGCTCAATCCCAGGACCCCCAGGTCATGACCTGAGCCAAAGGCAGATTCTTAACCTCCTGAGCCACCCAGGAGCCCTTTTTTTCTTTTTCTTTGTTAACTTTGTTTTTCTTTGTTAACTTTGTTTCACTTAGAATCCTACCCCGTGTGGTAGCCAGCATACAGCTGCTCTAGGCATTTTTTCTATTTCCACTTTTTGGCCAGGTAATACATTCCTTTAACTGAAAAAATTAAAATAAGTTGAAAATGTATAAATGAGTAACTTACTCCCAGCCACTCTGTTCCATCCTCTATGCCTCTAGCTCCTTAGAGCCACGCTTCTATTTCGTAAGCGTCCTTTTAGTGACTCCTTGGGCAAATGCAAGTATGTATGCATATGTGATTGTGGGATTTTTTTCTTGGTACACAGCGGGGATCACTTTGTTCCTTTCTGACTTGCCATGGAGAGCTTTCACATTCTTTTTCTTTTCTTTTTCTTTCTTTCTTTTTTGACAGCAGCACAACCGTTCACTGGATTAGTTTAACTAGTTTGCTCTGTTTACTCCCTTGACCTTGCTATTGACCTGGCTAAGAAGTCTCCAGGTTTGAACCAGTGTCTCTTCTTTTCTCCTCTGTTTTCAGAGTTCTTCCCAGCCATCGCCTACCCTAGCATCTGGCTGCAATGTCCGCTCATATTCCCCACCGTGAGAGAACGGAAGATTTCCTCCTTGCCTCTCCTTGCTATCTCCTTTAATGCCCACAGTGGGTGCCAGAGCTAACTTGAGGGCCCCGGGGGCAGCAGGGCACACCTGTTCCTGCTGATGATTAAAAACAGACACACAGGCACTTCCAGTTGAATCTCTTGTCGCTGGTAATTTTGGTCTTCTTGGGAACAGGTGTTCGTAGGTGAAACCCCAGGGCAGAGTTTAATTATAAACACCTGTTAACAGAGCAGTGACCTGGCTGAACAGGTACGAGGTTGGGTACTTTCTTCATCTTCTATTAATTTTAAATTGATTTTTATCTAATTTTATTTTTGTTTATTATTATTTTAACCTATGTTTTGAAATGACCCTGTACTGGTGTCTGATCGCTAACTTGCGAACACGCGGGGCCTGCTAGATTTGGGGGGAGTGGGGATTGGGAGGAGAAAACTCCCCTGTGAAAGTTCTCCTATGCAGCCCACCCGAGACAGGCAGAAGGCTTCCACTGAAGGGCATTAGGGTCGAACAGCACCACCTGTGGCGTGAGGAGGGGGACTCCCGGAGGCAGTATTCTCTTTTATTTATTTTTTTTTTTCAAAGATTTTATTTATTTATTTGACAGAGAGATCACAAGCAGGCAGAGAGAGAGGAGGAAGCAGGCTCCCCTAGAGAGCAGAGAGCCCGATGCGGTGCTCGATCCCAGGACCCTGAGATCATGACCTGAGCCGAAGGCAGCGGCTTAACCCACTGAGCCACCCAGGCGCCCCCAGTATTCTCTTTTAATGCAAGTGTTGATGCTTCCCTGTCTGCTTGTTTTGAAACAAGTGTTTTTCCCCTGGGTTCGGACCCGTGCCTGGAGTGGTCCGTCTACCATGCCCACTCAGCTGGAGGTGGCCATGAACATCATGATTACGACCTTCCACCAGTACTCTTTCAAGAAAGGGGACAGATTCAAGCTCAGCAAGGGGGAACTGAAAATGCTCCTGCAGCGAGAGCTCACACAGTTCCTCTCGGTGAGTCGCAGCTTCCCACCTCCTGGGGCGGTCAAGTATGGATGGGGTACGTGTCCAAGGAGAGCCTCCATGCAACGCCTCCTATGACCCTGCCACCAACAGTGCGGTTGGTACTGAGGTTCAAAGCCAGGGGCAAGCAAACCCCGGAGGCCTTTATTTTCTGTGTGCACTTGATCCTTGACCATCCCGGGTCTGTGCTGTGTGGGTCCTCCTATTGTGGATCTCTTCCAGTCCGGGGCTGTAAATGTATTTTCTTTCTTTCTTTTTCTTTTTAAAGATTTTATTTATTTATTTGACAGACAAAGATTACAAGTAGGCAGAGAGGCAGGTGGCGGGGGTGGGGGGCGGGAAGCAGGCTCCCCACTGAGCAGGAGCTGGACTCGGGGCTCGATCCCAGAACCCTGAGATCATGACCCGAGCCGAAGGCAGAGGCTTTAACCACTGAGCCACACAGTTGCCCCTGTACATATATTTTTTTTTTTAGGATTTTCTTCATAGCGTTTCCTTTTCTCCAGCTTCCTTTATTCGAAGAAGATAGTATATAATACATAGAAGACACAAAACGAGTGTTAATCTACTGTTTATGTTACTGGTTAGGCTTCCTGTCCACAGCGGGCTCTTAGCAGCTGAGGATTTGGGAAGTCAGAAAGTCACAAGTTGAAGGTAGGTTTTCGTCTGTGTGTGGGGTGGAGGGGGCCAACACCCCTACCCCGTGTCGCCAGAGGGTCATCTCTAGATAGGCATGTACCCTTCTCCATGTTGCCTGTGGCTAGGGTTTCCAAGGGTTGCAAATGGCATTCAGGCTTTCTCAATTGTGCAACATTGCGGTGCAGGGGTTAGAGTTAATAACTAGTGGCACTAGTTAGAGCTAGAGCTTTACGTATCTGTCTGTAAAATTAATATTATGTATTGGGCCAGAAATGAAACCTGGGATACTTTTTGCTGCAGAGGCAGGTTTTCTAGTAAATGAAAAATACTTAGCTTTGTCAGACAGCACAGGCTGATTCCGAGGGTCAGAGAGGGTGTGTCTGGCCAGTGACCGGTCAGGTAGCAAAGAGGTTCACATCTCAAAATAGCCAGGAGTTCATTAAAGTCTACACAGGAAATCTCCCAGTGGAGTGTTTGGGTTCTGAGGAAAACCCTTTACTCCGATGTTTATGCAGACACCTCGAATTGCCTTTAGCACAGTGTGTTATCCTTGCATGGTGTTATTTGTCCAAACCCCGTGTTAAGACTCCAGTATTTGGGGGCGCCTGGGTGGCTCAGTGGGTTAAGTCTCTACCTTTGGCTCAGGTCATGATCTCAGGGTCCTGAGATCGAGCCCCACATGGGGCTCTCTGCTCAGCAGGGAGCCTGCTTCCCCTTCTCTCTCTGCCTGCTTCTCTGCCTCCTTGTGTCTCTCTCAAATCAATAAATAAAATCTTTAAAAAAAAAAAAAAAGACTCCAGTATTTGTAACTACGACACTCTTTTCTTCTTTTCCCTCTATAGGAAAACCTTAAAGTAAAAAAAAAAGAAAAAAAAAAATTTTAAGTCCTCTCCATGCCCAATGCAGGGTTTGAACTCATGACTCTGAAATCAAGAGTCGCACGCTCTGCCGACTGAGCCAGTCAGGTGTCCCTCAAGTAAAAAATGTTTATCATAGTAATTCTTCCCAGTGCCTTTTCAGTTTGGCTACTGGTTTATAAAACATTTAGAATAAAAGTCTCAGCAGGTCAAATTTGTCACATTGATTTATTCAAATGAAGTTTATTGTTGTTGGGATGCCTGGGTGGCTCAGTTGGTTAAGTCTCTGCCTTCGGCTCAGGTCATGATCCCAGCGTCCTGGGATTAAGTCCCGCATCGGGCTCCTTGCTCAGCGGGGAGCCTGCTTCTCCCACTGCCTCTGCCTGCCAACTCTGTCTGCCTGTGCTCACTCTGAGAAATAAATAAAATCTTAAAAAAAACAACAACACATGAAGTTTATTGTTGTTTTGATCAAGTTGATTTTGATTCATTAAAGTTTCCAAACTTTTAATGGTTGGCGCCTACGGAGAGGGCAACGGGAATCCTTGGAGGGAATGAACTACTTTTAGAAATACTTCTCAGCAACCACCCATCAGAGGACGGGTGAAGGCTTCAAGTCCCACCCATTCTGAAGCCTGACCTCTTCTATGGGCTTCTGCTTTACTTTCTACCCCTGTAATGCAGTCATCCTTCTAAGACCTACCCTTCACCAGATGCCTCTTTGTGTATCATGTGCTGTGCCAAGTAAGGCTGCAGATAAAATATTGTATGTCCCATGCAATATTAGGGACATAAGGTTTTTTTTCCCCATTGTTCTGAAATTCACATTTAACTGAATGTCCTGTATTTTTATTTACTAAATCTAGCAACCTGTCTCCCCCAACTTTGTGGGGAGATAGTCTTCCTATTTTAGAAATAAGGAAATTCAAAAATGTTAAATGATTTGCTCCAAGCCTCATTGTTGGTAAATGGTAGAGCCACCTACTATCCCCTTTTGGCTGTAAAGCCTGCTTTGTTCCGGTTTGGAGTCCTGGTCCCCTGACCTTTGAAGTAGTGTAAATGCATTTTCAGGCGCAGCAGCTCACTTTGCTGAGATGCTGTTTGCTCTTCTTGGTGTTTAGATCTGAGCCAGAATTACGTGGCCCTGGAGCAGAAGGCCAGACTCATTTAGAATTGGATTAAAACCAATTCTACCTGCACATGGGCTCTTGGGAATTGTCCTTAGATGCCAAAATGGAAATAAAAACTTGAATGTAAATGCAATTTTGGTTGTCGTGAACCTCAAAGCCTGGGAGTTAGAAATTTTCTTTTTCCTTTTAGTGCCAAAAGGACCCCCAGTTGGTTGATAAGATAATGTAGGACCTGGATGCCAATAAGGACAATGAAGTGGATTTTAATGAATTCGTGGTCATGGTGGTAGCTCTGACAGTGGCTTGTAATGATTACTTCGTAGGACAATTGAAGAAGAAAGGAAAATAAAGATAAGTATAGTAAGCTTATCTAAGGGCAGAAGTATATCCAATAGTTATTTACTTCCTGTTCATCTATAGTCTTTTGAGACCTATAGTTATAATGAATGCCATTTATAGATATACATATAACTAAGTACTCATATTATTAAATGATGTGTACCTTAATAAATAGATTTATTTATTTATTTTTTAAAGATTTTGTTTGTTTATTTGAGAGAGAGAGATCACAAGTAGGCAGAGAGTCAGGCAGAGAGAGGGGGAACCAGGCTCCTTGCTGAGCAGAGATTCCCAATGTGGGGCTCGATCCCAGGACCCTGAGATCATGACCTGAGCTGAAGGCGGAGGCTTAACCCACTGAGCCACTCAGGCACCCCAATAAATAGATTTAAATATTCCAGATCTTCTATGCCCTACTTGAAATTTTCCTATACTACTAAGGTGCTTATGCATTTTTTTTAATCTGTCAAAAACAAGCATCACAAAATTTAGCTACTTTCACATGCTACTAAAGCTTAGCAAACTTCCAAGAGTCATTATCACCCTTAAATTGTATTTGAAGCTTCTAATCCTATTAACAAAATTAGGTGGCTCTCCCACCCTCTTGTGATTCTGCTTCAAATGGAAGAAGTTGTGCAGGTCTATAAGCAGAAAGGCTGATAAATAGAAGAAAGTGCTAGATTTGTCAGTGAGCTAGGTCAGGAGAGGAGGTGCATTCAGGGCTAGGAATCTAAGCCAGGAGAGCTGAAGCCAGCCACTCTTAAAGGCTGGTGTATAAATACCTTCCCTTGCCTCTTGGGTCCCCTAATTCCGGGGCAAGTGTTTCACATCACTTCCCAGTGCTTCCCCTGGGGTTAAGCTTCAGTGACCTGCCCTGCCCAGGGAGGCGGGCTTGATGTCATACCTTCTCTGTGCTCCCTCCCTTTCTTTGTCTCACTCCATACCCCCACCCTGTGTGTCTGCACTCTCAAATAAACAACTTGCATGCAAATTCTTGTCTTACAGTCGGCTTGGGGGAGACCAGACTATGACAGATCTCTTGGAGAATTTTAGAAAGAAAATGGTTAATGAGATTTATACTTCTTCTTTTTATAAATTTATTATTATTATTTTTAAGATATTATTTTTAATCTCTACACCCGCCATGGGGCTCAAACTCATAGCCCCAAGATCGAGAGTCACATGTTCTACCCACTGAGCCAGACAGGCACCCCTGTATTTATACTTTTTGGCTACTGTGTGAAGAAAGGGCTATGGAGAGGGCCAATGCGGAAGAGGGAGATTAGTTAGGAGGCCATTCTTGTGTTCTGAGCAAGAGACAGTGGTTTCTCAGCCCAGGTTTCAAGCAATGGAGATCAATTTGTTAAGTGCTTTGGCTGTAGGAGCCATAGGACATGCCAGTGGACTGGTGAGGAAGTGTCAGAAAGGAGGGCAGTGCAGGCTATATCTGTTCTCCATTTCCCCCCATATATTAGAAGCCTAATTTGTGCAGGGTAGCAGTGTGCCCAGCTAAAAAGCTCTATTTCCCAGCCTCCCTTGCAGCTGAGATGGAGTTTGTAACACAGTTCTGGACCTTGAGATAGAAGCAGAAGTCTCCTGGGAATTTCTGGGAATGTTTTGTTATTTCCATATCAGTTCTGTGCCTTCCACCGTGTTCATTCCTTGCTTATTGGAATGTAAATGTGAGGCTGGAGGTGAGGCTGCCCCATTGCCACCATGAGGATAGAGAAGAAAAAGAGAAGGAGCTGGGACATTGTTGTCCCTGAGGAGGCACTGCCCAGCCCTGGTCTGCCTGTTTCTAGTCTTCTCATGTGAAGAAAGAATGAGCACTCTCTGATTAAGCTGGATTCTGTTACATGCAGCCAAACACAGTCTCTAATGTTTAGATTTTTGGTCAAGCAAATTTAGTAAGTGGGAAAGGCTGGGAGACAAGCAGCTTTGGGGTAGGGACATTAGGGGGAATAGCTCTATTTAAAAATGTCTCTTGGACATCCAAGTGGACATAGTACATGGGCAGTTGGATAGATGACCTAGTCTAGGGCTCAGGTTAAAGAGAGGAATTAGAGACACAGATCTGGAAGTCATTAACATCTAGATGATATTAAGTCACAGGACTAGAGGATATCACTTAGGATGAGAGTATAGAGAGGGGAGATGAAAGGTCCAACAGTTTGCTGTCAGGAAAAAGAGGAGCCAGTAGGTCAACAGCAAAGTCATGACCAGGAAGATAGTAGGAAAACCAGGAGAATGTGGTGCCTCACAAGCCTAGAGAAGAAAGTATTTGAGGAGGGAAAGAAGGTAAAATCTATAATCCTCTGAGAGAAGGAGTAAGAGGAGAATGGAGAACTGACCATTACATTTGCCGAGGTAGAGATCACCAGAAACGGCAATGACCCTGATGAGAATGATTTCCCTTGCGGAAGTATCTATCCCTTGGGCTGATAGATGGTAGGTGCTCAATAAATACTTGTTAAATGAACAAATGAAAGAACCTGCTGGGTGTTGATTTTCTAGTGCTAAGACCTGTCATTTTTCTCTTTAAGTAATGTTTTTTTGTCTCTCTCAACCCAGTTCTGAGCAGACAGGACAGGGAGAATTTAGATGTCAGAGCATTCAAGAGCAGAAATGTATACTCTTGGTGTTTACTCCTGTTGCTCAGAAGGTTGGGGAAAAATTTGAAGAAAAAAGTGGACCACATATTTCAGAGATGTTCAGACTTTTTTCTTGCAAGATGGCACACTACTTGTGCAAGAGAAGGTTTAAACATTTCTCCGGGGCTTTTAAACATTTCCTTGTAATTTGGGCCAAAGTTTCCATATTCTACAATGAGTCACCAAAACATGAAAAGGAAATTCAAAATTTTCCTCATGTCCAATTCAAGGAAGGACATTCTCAATATAGAGAAATAAATGAAAAAACAATGTTCATTTCAGGCTGTTTCTAAAAATCAAAAGGGAGGAAAAGCAATTTATGTGTGAAATTAGATATCAAATGAGTAAGGATTACATGATGCACCAAAAGCTCTTTCCTAGTGAAGGCGAGCATGAGGGTGGGCTTTCTTTTGTGTGTGTGTTAGGTATGCACAAATTTGTAGGAGTCAAAACTGATTTCTTCTTATGCCCACAGACTCTGGCCTGTGCATTTTGCTGCCGTTTAAATCAACTTGAAACAATATTCAAGGGTCATCCCTGCATTAGCACGTTCTAATGTTTAGCATTTCCCCAATGTTCTTTTTTTAAAAGGTTTTATTTATTTATTTGATAGACAGCAAGAGAGCACAAGCAGGGGTAGCATCAGGCAGGGGAGAGGGAGAAGCAGGCTCTCCGCAGAGCAGGGAGCCAGATGTAGGGCTCAATCCCAGGACTCTGGGATCATGACCCCAGCCAAAGGCAGACGCTTAAGGGATTGAGCCACCCAGGGGTCCCTTCCCCAGTGTTATTGGAAGATAAGACTTATGGGAGACACTAGCCTAGGTCTGATTGGGGCCCCATCCTTGAGATGTGGCTGGCAATCCAAATAGCTAAATGCCTTCCAGAGGCAGAAGCCTGGAGTTGAGGGTTTGATAAAGGAAAAGGGAAAATTAATTAAAGAGGGCTCAATCCCAGGACTCTGGGATCATGACCCCAGCCAAAGGCAGACGCTTAAGGGATTGAGCCACCCAGGGGTCCCTTCCCCAGTGTTATTGGAAGATAAGACTTATGGGAGACACTAGCCTAGGTCTGATTGGGGCCCCATCCTTGAGATGTGGCTGGCAATCCAAATAGCTAAATGCCTTCCAGAGGCAGAAGCCTGGAGTTGAGGGTTTGATAAAGGAAAAGGGAAAATTAATTAAAGAG